AGCATTGAACATTAGTACAAACATTAATATGAAACTATGGGGTTGAGATGGGGAGTTGATGTCCGAGTGGATCGAGGTCACGATAGCTCAGGTGGTAGTGCAGCGGCGTATCTAGCCGCGAAGGTCGTGGGTTCGAATCCCGCTCGTGCCAATAACTTTTTTTTCATCTCAACTAAAAACCTTAATTAATTGTCTTGTATTAATTGGTCAAGCGGACCACGAAATTAGTGAATTATTAATATGAAAATAAAACATTTTTCTAAATCGGTATTAAACAAAGGTTTTTATTTCAATTCAAATACTTTACAGTGCATTTGGTGTGTGTTTTGATTTATTTACAATATTGGTAGGCGTAGGCGCAATGAAAAATGAAATGGCCAAAGGTGTCTGACCAAATTTCAACATTAAAACTTATTATTCTTTTTATGTAAGGTTTTGGTTGAGATAAAAAAGTCAATGTCGAGTTGACTTTTTTATCTCAGCCAACAACTTACATAAAAAGAATAATTAATTGAAAGAAGTAACTTGGTCAATTGGCCACTAAAACATAAATGGATTAATATTTAATAAGTAAAAGAAGTATCACTTCACTAAACAGCTCCCCGAGGCGACTTCATAATTCGCTGAGAATCGAATCCTGTTTACACGACATTTGAAAATGGCAAAAACAGGGAAAATTCGAACGGTTGTAGTTTGAGATGGAGAGATGGTGTCCCAGAGGACCAGGATCGAAGTGACGATAGCTCAAGTGGTAGAGCAGCGGCGTATATAGCCGAAGGTCGTGGGTTCGAATCCCGCTCGTGACACTGACTTTTTTATCTTAACCAAAACCTTACATAAAGATTAATTAATTTAAAGGTTGTAGTAACGTTTAGTTACGATAAAATCCAGAAATGTTATGAATTTTTAACCAGCAGTATGTAATACATATATTTAAACATATATTTAAATAGATAAATAACTTTTATTTTCGCTTTATTTAGAAAGGAGTCATGTTTCATTGTTGTTGAAAAATCTCAATCGAAAATTGTGGATAAAATAATACCAATAAGAAACACATACAGATAACGTAATAAATAAAACATAATAGTAGTTAACATTCACTCTACCCCAGAGTACTCGATATCCCTCGGGGTCATAGGGGTCATCTTAACCAAAACGTTACATAAAAAGAATAATTAATTGAAAGAAGTAACTTGGTCAATTGGCCACTAAAACGTAAATGGATTAAAACTTATGAAAAAGTCTATTTTGTTATAGTTCACTATTTTTCGTGGTCCGTTTGACCAATTAATTATGGTTTTTAGTTGAGATAAAAAATTCAGTGTCACGAGCGGGATTCGAACCCACGACCTTCGGCTCAATGTGTCGCTGCTCTATCACTTGAGCTATCGTGCCTTCGATCCACTCGGACACCAACTTCCCATCACAACCCCACCTTTTGAATTTTCCCTCCTTTTTGCCATTTTTCCAATGTCGTTTAATCGGATTTGATTCTTGGCAACAAATGAAATGGCGACGGAGAGCTTTAGTGAAGATACACTTCATTGAACTTATTAAATTCACTATTTTTCGTGGTCCGCTTGACCAATTAATATCTTTCAATTAACTAAGGTTTTTAGTTGAGATAAAAAAGTCAGTGTCACGAGCGGGATTCGAACCCACGACCTTCGGCTAAATACGACGCTGCTTTACCACTTGAGCTATCGTGACTTCGATCCACTCGGACACCAACTTCCCATATCAACCCCACCTTTTGAATTTTCCCTCCTTTTTGCCATTTTGTTATATAGCTTTTTTTACCGTCAAAGTAAGCCATTTTAAAATGAAATTAACCCATTTTCGCACTAAATTCCCCATTTTTAATTTCAGATGAACCCTTGTTTGATGAAACCACAGGATCACTGAAGATGGCGAAATGCCGAAACGCGTTATACCGAATTTCAACTTTAAAATTTATAAAAATTGTTATATAGTCAACTAACCCTTTTTAATTTCAAGTAAACCTTTTTTACGAGGGTATTTCAACTGCGAGATTATATGAACCTTCGGAGTGCCGGTGTTTTTGAAAAAAAAAGCCTAGTTGTATGTCGGGTTCGAATCCAACGACCCTGCATTGCAGTGATGACTGTAGCCTAATGGTACGTTTATGTTGGAGCTGCGATAAATGATCAAAGCTGCGATGAGAACGGCTACTCGAGCAGCGCAAAATTCATTTCTATGATATGCAGTTTATAGTGGAATTTCGACTATAGTGACGACTTCGGCTTTCTATGTGACGTTTTATTTATTATTTAGATCAAACCAATTAATTGAAAAATATTTCTTTACATATGAGTGATTCTGAAGAAGGAATACTTTCATCTTCAAATGCTGTTAAATATTGTACTGTTGAAACTGCAAATTCTCTGCACACTCTATCTTGTACCCAAAGAACATGTTTGAAGAATTTCATAATTTTATATAGACATTTAAGGCAATGCTCTAAAAAATTTATGGAATGTATGAGAATAACAATAGATACCTTTTACATTACATACTTTCGCACATCTCTGGGATTGAAAAAAGGCGGAGAAATTGTCATAGTAGACCAATTTTATCCGAATAGCTGCTAATGATTACAATCAAATAAGTAAATGTAGTCATATTGTATAAATATAATTCAATACATAATCAGATACAAAAGAAAGTAGTAGTAACACTAACACAAGAAAAATATAATAACAAATAAACATTAACTACCAAGTAATATTGGAAGACCAAATAATGTTTAGTAGGTTGAGATGGGGAGTTGGTGCCCGAGTGGATCGAAGTCACGATAGCTGAAGTGGTAGAGCAGCGACGCATTGAGCCGAAGGTCGTGGGTTCGAATCCAGCTCGTGATACTAACTTTTTAATTTAAACCAAAACCGTACATAAAAAGAGTAATTAATTGAAAGAAGTAATTTGGTCAATTGGACCACTATATATAATGGAATTAATTAAAATGTTTACTTCATGTTGATTTCGATTTTACAGCTAATTCGTCCCGTAATTTGTCGAGAACAAATCTGTTATGAGGATTTTGATTTTTTGTTCCCACTAGATGAATCAAACAAATATTTCACTAATTACCATACCACCAAATCCATGCGGACCACATCTGATAAAAGCAAATAAAATAGAATAGTGGCGCTTTTATCATTGCTCGGCTGCCAATCATGTCTCCAAACCTCACTCAAATATAAACACCTACATTGATTTCTTTGCTAGTATCACCGCTCTTATCGCTTATCGCAGCATGCGCTTATGCACCTAGGCCCAGTTCACACCGAGGCCATCTGTATGAGAGACGCGTATGCGATACCTGTATGGGATACAAAAAGTATTCAGGCGAGTCTCCTTGCGACTAGATTCAGTCGCCTCCCTTCATTACTCGAGTCTCTCCCAAAGTGACTTAAGATTTTTGATTCTGTCATATTTTTATAATGTACGAGTTAGAAACCGTAGGCTCTTTGGCTTTTAATTAGACGAAAAACAAGTAAGAGTAGAGTAATGTGGGTTCACCCACATTTCGCCAGGTATTTTCTTTTTTAACTTTATCTGCATAATCGTAGTCACTGTTGTGTCATACCGGTCGCCTGCCAGTCTCCTCGTCTGAACGGCCGTATCTATCCATACGTTACGTCGGTCTCCTCTGTTGCGGCCACCGATGCCCCTTGTTTTTAAATGTGAATTAACTTTTTTAAATTTCAAATTCATTTCTTTAAAACCTCAAAACACTTAGGAGATGGTATGAAATGTATAGTCTGTAAATCTGTAATAATTGATAGTAATAACAGTAATAATAATCGATAGTAGTAAAATAGGCATGTAATGTAAAATTAATAAATACACTGCCCATAAAAATAAATTAATTAATTTAAAAAAAGACCACCTGGTTTTTGCACGAAAAAATGGCAATCTTTGAACCTGCGCTAGTTCTCATATTTTGGAAAATTTTACTCTAAACAAAATGTCTTTTTTTTAATGTTTTCCTAACTTCAGTCATTTATCACTAAGTTCAAAAATTCGGAAACAAGTTAATTTTTGCACTTTTTACGAAAACGTCAAATTGAGTTACGGAGCCAGGAAATCAGCCCTTTAACACTCGATTTTAATTTCGAAATTTTAATAAGCTTTCAGTGGTCACCTTCCACTTCGGCAGATTTCTCAACCATTTTCGACTTATTCGCGATTTTTGGGCAAAAAACGTGGTTTTTTTCCGATCATCGGGAAATCTGAGAACTTGTTTTTTAAGATATTTAAAAAGCTCAAAATAAAAGTTTTTTTATATTTAATTTTACATAATTTTTAATTAAATAATGTTCATATGTCCTGCGAAGAGCCGGATTATTGTAATTGCATTTTTATTTTCTAAATGCTGGCTTGTTGCGGGCTTTTCCTGTTTACATTTCATATCATCTCCTAGGTTTTTTATGTTTTAAATAAACTGTTAATTTGAAGTTAAAAGGGGTTAGTTAACTTGAAATTAAAAAGTGTTAATTGATAAGGACAAAGTTAATTTGAAATTAAAAACGGTTAATTCAAAATTTAAAAGTTAATTTGAAATAGAAAATGGTTAATTTGATGCGAAAAAGGATTAATTTCAAATCAAAGAGGATTAATTTGGCTGGGAAAAGTTTTTCTTTTTTCCTTCTCCCATCTTACTTTCTGGTTTTTTCTCAACTTTATTAATTATAAACAATAAGTCAAGCACGAAGCCCAACTGTAATATCCATTTATCTCATTTTGCCAAAATTATTTATCCTGTTTTGTTCTCAAAATGTACAATTAAAATCCTGATTATGGAAAGTTCTACGAAGTTACTGACAATGAGTGTTTTCTGCCCAATGAACTTTATCCCTGATCTTTTCTTTTTTTTTGTGTGTGTGAAAAAAATTCTTTCAGTTTGTTCCCATTTTAATAGAACTATTGGAATGTCATTTTTCTTGAAGACTGACATAAAATATATTTTGCAGACTCGACAGACATGGGGTCTTCAGACTGCACACCGGGGAGCAGCGGTCCGAGAACCAAGGAAGAAGTGACGACCGCTGTTGCCGAAGGAGAGGAAGAAGGCAAACCTAGGAAAATAAGGAGGTCTAGGACAACGTTCACCACGTACCAACTCCACCAACTCGAACGGGCCTTCGATAAAACTCAGTACCCTGATGTTTTCACCCGAGAAGAGCTGGCAATGCGTTTGGACTTGAGTGAAGCCAGAGTTCAAGTGAGTTGTTTGTTGTTCCTCTTTGTTTTCAAATAACGTGGATTAAACTGTTTTAGTTAACTACGATTTCATGCTCTTCTAGGACTGAATAATTAGGGCGTGAGGTTTTAAATAATCCGGATAGAGGCGCTTTTACATAAATTTACATATAAGAATGAATGAAACTTTAAAAAAAAAAAAAAAAAAAAATGATGCACATTATGCAGGATGACCAGAGTTATCTACTCCACATCATGGAATCTTCCATTTTTTTGTGAAGTCATAAAATCTTAATTTTTTTATGAACCTTAAGCCATAATTTATTCTAGGGTTTATTTTATTACCTTTTCGACACACGTCTCGGACTGGAATCTTTCGCCAAAAAACACTAGATGTCAATTTATAATTTGTGACGGTTTCATCATAATAGTTATAGTCATAATTTAATATTTCAAATTTAGGAATGAATAGTATGTATATTCTTCAGGACTCAAATACATTTCAAGAATTTTGAAAATGACGAATTATAAACTTCGTCCAAAAAAATGATATGCAAGCAAATAATAAATACAAATATTTGTTTGGTTTAACTCTTGGAAGAAATTATGCGTCAGTACAATATTAGCAAAGATGTAAACGAAAATGTAGAAAAAACTTGGGAACAAAATTTAATCAAGTGAATTTGCAATATAAGTTTAGAAGAAAATAGCAATGCAAAAATAAAACTAGAAATGTGATTTTTCATGGAATGTATCCGAAGCTAAATTATATCACTTATTTACACTCTAGATCATTTCAAACTTTTGATACACTCAATAAAAACGATTCTTACATTTAGAAAAAATGAAATTATTAAAAAACCTAGTGTACCATGTGTAAAAGTTTAAAATAAACTAGATTATTAGCCGTACAAGGAGCAAATTTTTTAAATAATTTTTTTACGAGGGTATTTCAACTACCTTATATGAACCCTCGGGGTGCCGATGTTTTTGATAAAAGCCCATTTGTAAGGATGTGGGGTTGGAATGCAGGGCCGCTGGATTCGAACCCGGGACCTTTACCTTACAGTGATGAGCGCCGTGTCAACGCCTAAACCGTTCCGGCCACCGACGCCCCCGCAAAATCTTTCACCACGGGTTTTTGCAATTTTTGGGTGTATTGACTATTAAAAACACGTCTTAATAAAAAATGGTTACAAATTAAAAATTGACCTCTAGGGTATTTTTGGCGAAAGATTCCAGTCCGAGAGGTTTGTCGAGAAGGTAATAAAATAAACAGTAGAATAAATTATGACTTAATGTTCGCAAAAATGGAAGATTGCATGACATTTCCTAAATTATGGCCATAACTTTGTAAATTTATTTTTGCATTGTTCTCCCCCGTATAACGAGTATCTTTGAGAGAATAATATAAATTAAAGATATTAAGCAATAATAATAAAGGATTTTTCGACCATTTTGCGTGCTTATGAGCATTGCTAGAAGGGTAAGAAAGAGTTTGCCTTTCGTTCGCATAAGATTTTTTGCGTTTCCCATTTCTGTTCTGGGACAATTAACCGCTTAGTTCATCCTTTCTTCATACCAGTGTAAACACCCTCTTCTAAGAAACCTAATTTACCGCCCACCCCCGTTTCTAACCGGCAATGCTAATTAACATGAGTGGGCCTCGTAAACAACTTTCCCCTCTCCTACTAATAATTAGGTCCAATAGGGTCATGTATTGGCACTAGGACAGCATAGGTCATTGGTACCGAGTTTTCAAAGAAAGGGAGTTTTGTTGCAGTGTAAAAATAATTTTGTGAATGTGTTTATTAGTGTGAATGGATGGCTATAGTATGTGAAGCGGTATTTAAACCGGAATGAATGTATTTTAACATTGAAAAAGTGTATGGTTTGATGTGAATGTTCTATAGTTCAGGACTCCTTATGTTTTATTCCTTCTGAAAAGAAACGCTGAGGGAAACGGATTTGAGTGGATAATTTAGTAGAGGTAAATGAGTAAACCAGTTCGTCAAAAGAAGGAAGAAAGAGAATGAAATCGTGTCCATGGTGTCCGTTAGGTGAGACGGAAAAATGGCTGAAGGGTGAAAGTGAAATAATGGCCACCGAAAAGCAAAGTGCTCTAAAGCGAGCAACCCATTACACTAATTATCGTACAACAATGGGATAAATCACATTTAGTTTCATTACACATTTTTCCGCAAGTACCTCTCCTTCGTAGAGTGTCCGCTTAAGGATAATTCACCTTTTGTGTTCAGAAATGCGCTCGCGCCGGCGACGGAATTAGAGCGAATTACCGGCTAATTGGCGGCCAATTTGAAGTACATTAATCTGTGTTGGGAGCTCCACTGTTCCGCGACCTAATCCGCCCTCATTTTAACCCATTGTTCCTAGCAATTGGCACTATTGTTGGGCGGCCTCCTCCGGACGAACAAAGGGCCTAATCACAACCCCAAATAGACCCCCTCCTAACCCCTTCCGACACCCACCCCCTTGCATGCCCAACCGGCACCAAGGCATTTTACCGCATTTTATGCTCGGGATGGCTCACGTCTACGATTAATGATCAGAAACGAAAGTCCACTTATCCCTTCCTGCCTTATTAACCTGAGACGATGTACTAAGCTTCAGCTTACTGACATTCTGTATTAGTTCAACTTTTCATTCTGACTCATACACTTTTATTTGACTTCTTGACTTAAAAACAGTTGAGTATGGTAGAATCCACGGAAACTCGTCGGTTTGATCGTTGCCATTTTACTCCACCTTCATACAAATGTACTATTCTCTAATTTGAAAAATATATAGCTTAATGAATATTATATGTGTTTGTTAAGAAGAATTTGAATATTTACTTTTTATAACTGTATGCATAATTAATGACCTACCATAACTACTATATGTCCATATTCTTTAATATATACCATTTATACAACATAGTAATATAACAACAAACTAGAATGATCTTATGGTCTAACAATAAGGAGTACAGTCTAGCAGGTAAACGTAAGATTGAATGTAATAACAAAAATATTACATTTGTATTATATAGCGTTTTTCCATCAAATAAAAAAAATTGGCCTTTGTTCAGACTTTAAATTAACTATTTCTCATTTCAAATCAACCCTTTTTAACTTCGAATTAACTTTTTTTAATATCTAAACAACCAATACCCAGGAGATGGTATGAAATGTAAGCACGTCAAGTAAAATTCTTACATTTAAACATAAAGAAAGTGATTATTTATTTTTTAAATGATTAATTTTCTTAAATGCAAAATAATTTGGCTATTAAAAACCGTAAGAAAATTAATTAGGATCAACATTAAATCATGTGTACATATTTCAGTTTGATTAAGAATTTTTTTAAACCATTATAAAAAAAAGATTCCCTTATTTTTAATACTTAATTAACGTAATTTTCAATAAAATTTGAATACTTAATTGCATGATATTAATTGTTCAAGCGGAATGTAATTTTCAATATTAATTGTAATTGATTTTTAAATAGATTTTTATATAAGAGCCCAATTATTTAATATCTTAAAAAACCAAGGAGAAGATTGGTTTTTATATTTAATTTTTTATCATTTTTAATTTTAAGTTAAATTAATTTTGATACTGTGTTCGTATTTCGCCCAATTATTTTACATTAATTTTTTCCATATACACAGTAATACTTTACTTTGCCTGCTTATGTTTCATACCATCACCTAAATTTTTTTTAATGTTATAAAGAAAAGCTAATTTGAAGTTGAAAAGGATTAATTTCAAAATAAAAATGTTTAATTTAAAGTTAAAAAATATTAATTTGAAGTTAAAAAGGATTAATTTGAAATTAAAAGTTTAGTTTTTAGTTAAAAAGGGTTAATTTCAAATTAAAAAAGCTTAAGTTAAAGTTATAAAGGGTTAATTTAAAATTAAAAAAGATTAATTTGAAGTCAAAAAAAAGGTTAATTTGGGATTAAAAAGGGTTAATTTGGTGCGAAATACTGTAAATTAAAAAAGAGTAATTTATCGTTTAAATGATTAATTTGAAGTTAAAAAGAGTTAATTTGAAATTAAAAGTTTAGTTTTAAGTTAAAAAGGGTTAATTTCAAATTAAAAAAGCTTCAGTTAAAGTTATAAAGGGTTGATTTAAAATTAAAAAGAATAATTTGAAGTCAAAAATGGTTAATTTGGGATTAAAAATGGTTAATTTGGTGCGAAATACTGTTAATTTGAAATAAAAAGGTTTAATAAATACATTCAGTGTAATAAATATACACAATCGGCTCCCTCACACTTCACATTCACACTAATAAATACATACTACACACTGACATAAATAAATAAACTCAAAAACACAAATCGAGATCTATATTAAGTACTGTTATATACGATAAGACTTCCGCGTTTTCTTAAAAAATCAGCACAGAGGGTTGAAATATTCGCCGCTGGGCACAAGTACATTCTAATAACGGGTGGCATTCCTACTCGCTCTCTATATAGAGCCAAACGCCCTTCAATTATGTGGGACAAATCGATCAACCTTTCTCTATACACACGCACAGGGTTTTGCCCAAAAGTAATTGTCCATGTGATAACCATCCTGTTAGATTCAGTTCCTCCGATGCCCATGATCGTTCTTCTCACAATACACACTTCCGCTAATAAATACATTCACAGACAAAACGAGACATTCTCTACGTCCCGGATAAGTGTATGTATGTCAACATCACATGGCTGATTCAGATCCTCCGAGGGCCACCTATCGACAGTGGTGCTGATATGTGACAGGTTCTCTGCTAATATGGTTGATGCGTTCGTTTTATGTTTTTAGTGGTTTTTTATCGTCAGAGGGCCAGATTGCGATGGTTGGGACCACTTCGTAATAAGTTTCTATAAAAATAACCATTTTAGTAGTTAAGAACATGTGTAAAAAAGGAACGGGTTTCAGGAATCTCCTAAAAGTTTTAAGAACGAACTTATGCTTCTTCATCAATTCGTCAACCTTTGTTTTATTCCCTTTTTTCGAGATCACCAGGCTTCCCCCTCCCGGCGTTCTACAGGCAAAAAAGAAATTTAATATCGTTAAAGAACAATGTCAATTGTAGGCGACTGAGCAATCAAGGGGACATTGTCCTCTCCAACGGGCTAAATATCAATTAAAATCAGATTTCCAAGGGGCGCTTATTCACGATACATTACTCGTTTTTAATTGACGTCGGATAAGAAGAGATTAGGGATTTGCCTGGGGGGTTCCCAGGGGTTGGTTAACATATTAGTAACAGGATGACAAGGGGGTGGAAAGGAAGGTTACAATGGGCTTGGCCAATTAGAGAGGAGACCGCATGCCTATCCACCCCTCTCAACTATACCAGTACTATTGTACTATGTACGTATCGTTACGCATGCTGTCCACAATGTCTCCCCGGGCGCCCAGATTTATGACGTTTAAGAACAAAGCTCGCCGCGGGAGTCGGGTTAATGGCCATGTCTACACCGGTCTAATGTTTTCTTTGTCGCTCACCACCCTCTTGTCTACAATAAATCGCCTTCGGGTCAACTCGCTCACGTAACAACGCACCCAGCTCTCACATTGTAAAACTATTATTATGCATTCAAAGTGTTTCATTACCTTTTTTACAAACGATACCCCTTTTCTTTACTTCTTTCTCACCGCTACCCTTCTATTGTAACTCTATCTTGCGATCTGGTCTTATTGTCATTGAAGTATATATGTTCTCCTACCCATTCAAATTCCAGTCCGACAACCGTTTTAACGAAAATACAAAATAATTGGCCTGCATTTATTTGTTATTTTAATTAGTTGTTTGCTTAATATCTTTAATTTAAGACAAGGTATGAAATTGATCAAAAAAACACAAATGACAAAACACGTCATTTTTCTCTATTTTATTTTAAGGCTTTATAGGTTTTAAAGATATACAGAGCCCTACCAGACAACCCTTTGTTTTCTTAATGAAAAGGGCAGGTTTTACTGCATACTTCAAAACTGGGTTTTACTTCGAAAAAAAATTGACAGACTTCTAATATAAACAAAAATAAAAGCCATTTTGACATAGACTTCTCATCGTTAAGGGCTTCACTGTATCTTACGATATCTGGCTAATCATAAATATCCGTACATAACAAAAAAATACATTCCTGTAGCTCATATGACAATGATACCCGATAATACCAGATTGATTCGTATCAGCACTTTATTCACGTTCCTCTTACTTTACTTCAACTACCAGTTGGGTATCGCGGGAATCGTGTCAAACAAAATTTTTCATATTACTTTCAACTAAAATCCCAAGGGCTCTGCCGGGACTCGAACCCAGGACTCTGCGTGGCAAATACGAGTCGGACGCCCTAACCGCTCGGCGACCGTGGTTGCAAAAGTAATGTAATTCCAACCAAAACGTTTGGGTGTCACGGACGACTGGAACCAGTTCAAAACTTTTTTTCATATTATTCTCAAATAAAAAACCTTGCGCCGAGCTTCGAACACAGTACCCATAGCGTGGCCTGACGAGTCGGCTATAGGTTTTTACTTAATACAAGTAAACTGTATTATTATATGTTTAGAGATTAGTGACCGTTAATCGATAGTTATTCAGATATCGTGAGATGCGGTCGGGTGTGATGTAGGTTTCAGAAAAACATTTTCTTTATCGTGACAACGTTTCGATCTTTTATTGAGATCATCTTCAGGGCCTGGGATTTACAAACAATGTTTACATTTAACAAATACATTTAAGATGAGGAAAAGTGAATTTATACAATGCAAAATATATTTTATATTGAAACAAAGTATTTCTACTCACTCAAAGTTTTTGTCTTCTGTGTAATTGTGCCATCCTTGCGTGTCGTGTTGGGAGTGCCAGTGAGATTTTGCTGTTTTATGTTTATATATGTTTGGTTTTGAAAGGGTGGGGAAGGAATGTATTATTATAACAGGAACATGAATAAAGTGGTGATACGAAATCAGATCTGGTATTATCGCGTGTCATCATCACATAAGCTAAAGCAATGTACTTTTTTGTAGGTTTTTTTTAATATAATCTTGGAATATGAATCAATATTTTTTTTGTTATGTAGGGATATTTATGATTAGCCAGATATCATAAGAAACGGCAAAACCTTAAGGATGAGAAGTCTAGGTCGAAATAGCTTTTATTTGTAGTCTGTCAATTTTTTTTTTTTTTCGAACCCAGGTATGAAGTATACTGTAAAACCTGTCTTTTTCATTAAGAAAACAAAAGGTTGCCTGGAATCATGATTAAAGTGATATTCATTAAATTCACTAATTTCGTGGTCTGCTTGACCAATTAATATATTACAATTAATTAAGGTTTTTAGTTGAGATAAAAAAGTCAGTGTCACGAGCGGGATTCGAACCCACGATCTTCGGCTTGATACGCCGCTCCTCTACCACTTGAGATATCATGACCTCGATCCACTCGGACACCAACTTCCCATCTCAACCATTTGAAAAATGGCAAAAGGGAGGGAAACTCAAAAGGTGGGGTAGAGGATTATGTGTTGGAAGGTATCGGTTCTTATTTGAAATTTTAAAGTTATACTGGTCCATACCCTGTATTTTTTTTTCTTTTAAACAGGTAGAATTTTTCATCTAGACTGAAAAATAGTAAATACGGGAGGTTTGATGAGAAAGAAAGAGAGGAGAGAGAGAGAGTTTGAGAGTGAGAAGGAGAGGAAAAAGAAAGGAAGGAAATAGTGATAATTTATCCCTATTTTTTAAATAAATTGGTAGATAGTAACTATTAGTTCAGTAGCCTGTCAATATCTACATTCCTTCTCCTCGGCTACTCTCCTTCTAAAGATTCTATCAATTTTACTATTTTCCAGTCTAGATGAAAAATTATACCTGTGTAAAAGAAAAAAAAATACAGGGTATGGATCAGTATAACTTCAATATTTCAAATAAGACCCGATACCTTCCAACACATAATTTTAACACTAAAATCAATGCTGCAATCCAATTTAAAATTTACCAAAAATTAACAAAGTTTGGAAAAAAACACCATTTAATTTACTATTTTATTTGTTTAATTTCTCATAAAGTTAATATTTTTATTGTATTTTGTTTTGTTTAAAGATAAGAAATTGTGAAAATAATATCTAATTGACAAATTAAAATAATCAAAATATCCAATTGAGGGTACCAACCTTACAATTCATGTACGACCTGCCTGCCCCGGTTTAAGGGCCAATGATCGGTTCTCTTTAACCACCCTGGGTCAGACAATATGCTGGAGTGTTCATCGTTGTTGCAGAGGACCATCATCCAGTAAATTTATGTAAATTCCCTCTCAAAACATTTAGAAATTGAGCTCAATTAAAATTGTTTCTGTAAAATCGAAAGAAAACCTCGCTCTCTATTTGGAGCCTAGAAATAACACCCATTAATTTTTATATAATATAATCCTAGGCTTTGATCACGTTCTTATAATATATAGGAAAAATCTGGTAGATTTAAGCTAATTGCGTTATTGTTGCAGGTCTGGTTTCAAAATAGAAGAGCCAAGTGGAGGAAACGGGAGAAGGCGATGGGCCGCGAGGCCTCAGGCGGCTATGTGCAATCCGATCATCCTTCTGGTATGCTTTTCATCCTCACTTTTCAAATATATTTAAAGTTGGAAAGATTTAGTTTTAAAAGGCCTAAGTTGGAAAGAAACTAACACAGTACAAATTTTACTATATAAGGTTAACCCGTTATGGCCTAATGTTGTCTTAGAGCCAGAAGAATATTAGCTTTCTGGTGAAAAGATTATAGGGAAATCCCGTGAGTTTAGTAATAGAAAGTTTAGATTGGCGCTAAATAAATCAGTCTTGCAAATACACTGGTAGAAGAGATCAAGAACAACACTGTGCCAGCCCTAAACTCACGAGATTTCCATCGAACCTTAAACAAAATTTTGTAATGTTGGCATTGTTCTGAAGCAACTTCGGGCTAGAAATGGTTCATTTATAAACTGGATATTAAAAATTTTATATTTGGCAAATATGACAATCGATACATGATCCATGAGGTGAAGAGGCCATGTTGGGGATTCAATAGAAGATTCCAAGATGGAGTTTTTATATTAGCTTCAAAAAATGGCTGTTGCCAATACACGGAATGAAACATCGAAGAAAAAACACTGTGCCAGCCCTAAACTCACAGGATTTCCATCGAACCTTAAACAAAATTTTGTAATGTTGGCATTGTTCTGAAGCAACTTTGGGAAAAAATTGGTTCATTTGTAACCTGGATATTAAATTTTATGTTTGGCAAATATAACAATCGATACATGATCCATGAGGTGAAGAGGTTGGGGATACAATATAAGATTCCAAGATGGAGTTTTTATATTAGCTCAAATAAAATGGCTGTTGCCAATACGCGGAATGAAACATCGAAGAAAAAACACTGTACCAGCCCTAAACTCACGGGATTTCCACGAACCTTAAACAAAATTTTGTAATGGTGGTATTGTTCTGAAGCAACTTTGGGCTAGAAATGGTTAATTTATAAATTGGATATTAAAAATTTTATGTTTGGCAAATATGACAATCGATACATGATCCATGAGGTGAAGAGGCCATGTTGGGGATACAATATAAGATTCCAAGAGGGAGTTTTTATATTAGTTCAAAAAAAAAAAAAAATGGCTGTTGCCAATACGCGGAATGAAACATCGATGAAAAAACACTGTACCAGCCCTAAACACACGGGATTTCCATAGAACCTTAAACAAAATTTTGTTATGTTGGCGTTGTTCTGAAGCAACTTTGGACAAGAAATGGGTCATTTATAAACTGGATATTAAAAATTTTATGTTTGGCAAATATGACAATCGATACATGACCCATGAGGTGAAGAGGCCATTTTGGGGATTCAATAGAAGATTCCAAGATGGAGTTTTTATATTAGCTTAAAAAAAATGGCTGTTGCCAATACACGGAATGAAACATCGAAGAAAAAACACTGTACCACCCATAAACTCACAGGATTTCCATCGAATCTTAAACAAAATTTTGTAATGTTGGCATTGTTCTGAAGCAACTTTGGGTAAGAAACGTCATTTATTAACTGGATATTAAAAAATTTATGTTTGGCAAATATAACAATCGATACATGATCCATGAGATGAAGAGCTCATGTTGGGGATACAGTAGAAGATTCCAAGATGGAGTTTTTATATTTTATTTTATATTATATGAAACATCGAAGAAAAAAGACTGCACCCGCTCTAAAATAGTGGGATTAGCAAAGTTTTAACAAATTTGCTAAATTTGCTGTTGATCTGAGGTAACGTTCGGCAAGAAAGTGCTAGCAGTGTAACTGTCTGAAGAAAGAAATACATCCGTTTTCCTTGTTTCTGGTAGTTTGATGGCAAATTTAATGATACGGTTTAATACATAGGCTTTCTCATTTATTTCAGGTCTCAATTACGCCTTTCGTTTTTTCAGAGTTATCCGCGTATTAGGATTTCAACAAATCGTTCTCAAACTGAGTAAACAGACCGCAAAATGTTCAGGTACCTGGTTCAAACTGAGTAGAATGGGGTCTTAAAAGGTGTTAATGGCAGGGCTCCTTGAGTATTCCTTTGGAGTATAATCTCATTTCGTGGGGTAATAGTGCGAAATTTTCACGAGGGGTCCTTACCTGTTGCCTCCCTACAAATTTCCGACTTACTCTCTTCTTCCTGTTGAGAAAATCTAAATTGGGTTTTTCATCCGTTCTGTCGTGTCGAACATGCCAAATTACTTACTTTATAGGAAAACATTTTACAATATTTCGAACAATTTTCTCCTAACTCGCTTCTAACATTGATGGTGGATAAGGGGACCCGGTAAAAGTGTTGCGGGTCTATCTAACTAAATCTTTTTTATTGGCTTGGAAAAAACCATTACCTTTCATGGATAATGTGGTCAAAGAATTTTTTAAATTGGAACACTAGAAATTAGTTAAAAACATTACTAAATTATTAATTCCTACACCTGGAGCGAGCGCCATTTCCTATAAACGTTCGCCACTACCATGGCGTATTTTCTCAAAACCAAACTGGAGAAAATTATCCGGTAAGGTCACAAAAACAATGCAAGCAGGTTCGCAACTAGGCAGAGTTGTGTATTCGAAAGGTTCATAGCGGTAGAATCAACAGGAAATGCAAAATAAAGTTGAAAGTTACTTTTGGGGAACTACGTCAGAAAAATAGCCGCTACAAAAAGTAGGGTTTTTGGACACAAAAGGGACAAAATCTGCTAGCCCGTTTGAGATGTTGGTTTGAAATGTTTTATGCGGTTACATAAAAGGTCTATAAACACTTCTACCAGAGCTTTTTTTTTAAATAACAATTAGATTTGGAAAAAAAATCTGAAATATTAGAAAAAATGTGTTCAACAGTTTTCTTGCTTTAGACTTTTTTCAGACGAAACGTTTCAAAACTGCCAGCGTTAAACTTGAGTGGAATAATAGAGGAACATGTGGTTCAAATCTAATCGAAAACGGTTCGGTAGTTACTGAGAAAAATCCCTTTTCCTTCCTTTTCCACCCCCCCCCCCCCAACCACGTAAATATCACTCGCATCAATTTGTCTGGTCCCCCATAATGGTATGTGAGTCGGTAATACATGTTAAACCGGCACTGGGTCCGTCTACTCTCGCTGGTTTACGATCATAGAGCAGTTATATGGCATTGTTAATGTGTTTTCGAAATTGCCTCACTGATTATGGCCCAAAACCGAAACGAGTTTGTTTGATATGAAAACCCTAGTGTAAAAGAAAGATTCTTAAAACTAAATAAAAAGTATTGGGGCTAAAACCGAAAATGGCCCATTGGTTATGTATGACAATAATTATTCTCTAATCTGGTGGACCAAAGATCCATGTAGATGTATAAATTAATTTAAAAAAATTGCAATTCACAGACATTTTACATTGCATGCTTACATTTCATACCATATCCTAAGTTTAAAAAAAGGGTTAATTTGAAATTTAAAAAAATAATTTGAAATTAAAAAGAGTTAATTTGATTGAAAAAAATTAACGTTAATTAGAAAAAATTTAAAATAATTTGAAGAAAAAAAAAACGCTATAACCGTCGGAAAACATGCAGGGATATCATGGTTGTAAATTGACTAAAAGGATTTTGGACTTAGGGTACTACTTTGAAGGATACCAGTGCTTACTGGGAAGATATGAGATAGTGCATGGCGCTCGCCAAAATTAAAATGATTAAATTTTGTGTTAAAATAGTTTAATTTGACAAAAAAAGTTGATTTTACATTAAAAAGCGACGAAAAAAGCTGTAATTGTTGGAGGAGATGAAGGGATGACGTGTGCATACATTGAATCTAGGATGGGACTTAGGATACTATCTTGGGAGGACACGTGTTTACTAGGAAAATANGGGTGGGTGGGAGGGAGAGAGAGGAGAGAGAGAGTGATTGAGAGAGAGAGAGAGAGAGAGTGAGAGCATGGACCTAGCCAAAGTTAAAAAGGTTTTATTTGAAGTTAAAAAGAGTTAATTTGAAATTTAAAAAATGTTAATTTGAAGTAAAAACGTTATTTGAAAAATAAAAAGCTTGAATTTAGTGAAAAAACATTAATTTGAAATTTAAAAAACATTCATTTGAAATTAAAAAAACCTTAATTTGAAATAAAAATGAAAAATAATTTGAAATTAAAAAGGTTAATTTGACGAAAAATGTTACTTTGAAATTAAAAACGTTAATTAAAAATAAAAGAGTTAATTTGACTAAAAAAGGTTAATTTGAAGGAAAAAAGTTTAATTTGAAGAAAAACGCTATAACTGGAGAAAATGCCAGGAAATCGAGGGTGTAAATTGAATATAGGATTGGAACTAGGATACCACCTTGAAGGACACCAGTGTTTACTGGGAAGATGGGAGGTTGCGTGGCCCTCGGCAAAGTCATAAAGTGTAATTTTAAGTAAAGAGTTTATTTTGAAATTAAAAAGAGTTAATTTGATGGAAAAGAGCGGTAACACATATCCAGTTTCTAGGCCAAATCTATGATCAGGAATCGCTAGAATTTTCGATTTGAAAACGGTTTAGAGTTATTTGTTTAATTTTTGTGTCTTTACTGCTGTGTACATTTGTTCTTTTTGTTTACAGGCTACGGCGGAGAAGTCGACCCGCTGTGGGTACCGCCAGGGATGATAGGTCTTCCATGGCCCAAAGGACCCGTGGGACCTCCACTCCAGGCACTCCTGACCCACTACATGCTAGCAGGGGTGCCCCCGATCCCTTTCCTCGGCCGACGGCTCCCCTCGCCGACATCACCGCCCATTTCACCGAGGCCACCTCAAGACGCCTCGGCACCTGTCTTCCTCAAGCACGAGGTTTTTTACCCGACCACTCCCGAGTCGAAGGAGTAAAACTACGTGTAAACATCAGCGCCTTTCTCTCTTTGCTTTAATCAACTACCGATCTGGATAATCTGATTAATCCATCGGGCCGCAATTTGATTGATATCCCTGAACAATTTTGTTATGTGTTTTTACGATGCATTTGGAGGGGGGCCCTTTTTCATCGACTCATCCAGCATTCGAGTCTCTTATTTCTATGAAATAAGAATAATTCCACGTCTTATTAACTATTTTACGACCAAATTTTGTACTAGTCATCGTTATTGTAGTCATTTTATTATTACGGTTTTACACAATTAAGCGGTGTGCTCCTTTCAGAAAATATAATTGACTATCGTAAAGACACAAAATGAATATTTAAGGTGATTGAACATACTTGTAAATATAGATTTTAATAAGTATAGTTAGGTTGCCACCAGTGGCTGCTTTTTTAAAAGGAACCAAACGGTTGTATAGATACGCGGCAGAATGTAAATTGTATAGGTTAAAAATTAACGCCGCATAGTAATTTGGCTGACTTTTATTTTTATGGATGACCGGCCTTTACACTTGTTTCTTTCTCAGTTAGGTTCGACATTTTTATTTTTCGCTTAGACGTAGATGCACGAAAAAAAGATATTGAATTGTATTCATCTCACATTACAGTATAATTTAAAACATACATCATTACGTGTTTATTTACAACTTAATATTTTGATTATAAAGCGAAAAAATGTACCTAGAAAAAGGTATCGTTTAAATTATCTACATTCGTAATTGGGTCATTTCTGATCAATCTGGTTTGCCTATCAGACCAATGTACATTGATTAAGTTTTTTCTCACCAAACTCTTTATTTTGATTATAAAAAACAAAAACAAAATGCTTAGGAACAAAAATGTTTACCATACTTTAAAATGAGCTACGCGCTCAGACCAAAAGCATTTTATGTGATAAATCCTCAGTGTTAACAAAAACTTTATTAGTGCATTTGTAATTGAAGTTCTTCAAGTTTTGTTAATAAAAAGGCACCTTTCTAATTTGTGCTTTTGTACAAAATAATAATATAAAACCAATTAAATAAAAAGAAAAATTGTAAATTACGTTATTAAGCTGTATTTTTTCTGTCTCACTCTACTTCCTTTCTTAGGTTTCAAAAATTTCTGGGTTAATAGAATCGACGATGATGAAGGAAGAATAATATTCAAAATATGCAACAGGAGGTAAAAAAATAAGAGCATTTTTCAAGTAAATGTGAAAAAGACATGAGTCCCCGGCGCATAGGCCACACCAAGATAGCTCTCGGACTTCTAATGGGGGTGAGAAAACGTAGGTGCCCGTGACGCAGAGAACTTATCACGGTAGAGCACATAACGGACAGCAAAGGCCTAAGTCAGTAAAGAAAGAAATACGACATCCTCAATGACCTTTGCGCGACCTTGAGGCAAGGCAGCAGGCACAGATCGTTTTTCCAGTATCTCAGGGCTGTAAATCTTTTTAACTGTACCGAGATTTACATGTATTTGTACATGAAGATGTATATGATATATGTTATTAATTGGTACGAATGTATTTCTTTATGAGAATGGAGGGGATTATTCCTATTAACCCCGAGGAATATCTAGTACTCTGGGGTAGTGAGAACAAAGTCTGGTGTGTGAATGTAATCCCCCTATGACCCCGAGGGATATCGAGAACTCAGGGGTAGAGTGAATGTTAACTACTATTATGTTTTATTTATTACGTTATCTGTATGTGTTTCTTATTGGTATTATTTTATCCACAATTTTCGATTGAGATTTTTCAACAACAATGAAACATGACTCCTTTCTAAATAAAGCGAAAATAAAAGTGATTTATCTATTTAACTATATGTTTAAATATATTTATTACATACTACTGGTTAAAAATTCATAACACTTCTGGATTTTATCGTAACTAAACGTTACTACAACCTTTCAATTAATTAATCTTTATTTAAGGTATTGGTTGAGATAAAAAAGTCAGTGTCACGAGCGGGATTCGAACCCACGACCTTCGACTACGCCGCTGCTCTACCACTTGAGCTATCGTGACTCTGTATATATCCTGAATAATTTTTTTAACCATCGAAAGAGGTAATTTATACATATGTTGATTCGTAAATCAAAATATATCACTCAGATGTAGTTTACTACTTTTTTCTTGTCAAACCATTTTACAATATATTTTTCAATTCAATTAAACCTACAACCTTTCGAAGTTTCCCTCCTTTTTCCAAAAAAAAAAAAAAAATTCGAAACGTTTGGGTTGAGATGGGAAGTTGGTGTCCGAGTGGATCAAGTCACGATAGCTCAAGTGGTAGAGCAGCGGCGTACCAAGCCGAAGGTCGTGGGTTCGAATCCCGCTCGTGACACTGACTTTTTTATCTCAACCAATACTTTACATAAAGATTAATTAATCGAATGATGTTATTTGGTCAATCGGGCCACGAAATCTAATGAAGTTGTTACAACCATTTGAAAGATGAACTTTTTCTATTTTTAGACTACGTCAATGTTTACATTTTATGTCATTAAAAAGAGAGAATAAAACTTGAAAAGAAGAAGAAGAAAAGGACAGAAGAAAGAACTATAAAAACTCCTCATATCTTTTACAAGTAAGAACATGGAGGTAATGAGTGTGCGACGTAGCAAAGTAGATGAAAATATTTGTTATATTAATTTAAAATTTTCATATTCTAATATACAATTGATTAATGTAAATATTAATTATATATATAAACCCTTGAATACAGTCTTTTTGGAAAGTCAAAAAATATTATTTTTCTCAATTTATTCGCCTTCCTACTTCCAATTTTTTAATCGAAAATCGCAAAAATAATGAAACTTTCGAAACGACTCGACCAATCCACAGGATGTTTTACGGGGATTTTGATCTTATATAGTCATAAATTACACTTATTGGAAAAATTTTACTTCATTAAATAAATTTTGAACAGAGATATAAAATTGTTTGAAAATTTTTTGTTGACTTCATCCTTACTTTTCTCACATTTAATGGGTTGAACACTGACTTTTCTTAACACTCCCTGAAAGAAGATACATTAAGTTTTGTAACGGTCGCAATAACTTCGAATATATAGACAATCCAGAAGAGTTGCGAATTTTTAAGTGTAATTAGGAAGGACATCGGAGAAAAAGAAATTGCCCAATCTACTCCAGAAACTTCTATTTTTTGTTTGCCATACAAAATTAGTACTAAGGCCTTTAAAGTGTGATTAAAATAAATGCGAATTAATTTTTTCAATAAATATTTTCCTTGGCCTACTTTCACTTTGCTAAATTTTCACATATCCAATCTGGTTTAATAAAATGCTGCATTTTTTTTCTCACCCAAGTGAAAAAATTCAACGATTGACGTGTAATAACATTGAAATCGATCTAGAACACAGATAAATACCCATATTAATAAAAAATTAAATAATTGAAAATAATTTATTTGGTCAATAGGTCCACGAAACCTAATAGATGTAATAAGCAAAATGAAGTATACTTCACTAAAGCCCTCCGTGGCCATTTCATTTGCCGACGAGAATGGAATTGATTACACGACATTTCAAAAATGGCAAAAAAGAGGGAAAATAAAAAGGTGGTGTTGCGATGGGAAATTGGTGTCCGAGTGGATCGAAGTCACGATAGCTCAAGTGGTAGAGCAGTGACGTATTTAGCCGAAGGTCGTGGGTTCGAATCCCGCTCGTGACACTGACTTTTTTATCTCAACCAATACCATACTTAAAGATTAATTAATTGAAAATAATTTATTTGGTCAATCGGACCACGAAACCTAATAGATTAATAAAAAATTAAATTAATTATATTTTTTTTCACGGCCTTGGTAAGAGTTTGGATAGGTATAGCAAAGTAGGTTAAGAGAATTTTTAGCACGAAAGCAAATTGTTATTGTTTTTTTCATCCCAATAAACCTTTGAATATAAATTTTCCTATAACGAATAAATAATAATTATAAATACTTTCTCTCTAATATCAATTACAAGTTATTAGAAAATAACTTGTTCTCAAATTTTTCGCCTCCGATTTTTTTTTGAAAGTCAGAAAGATCGTGATAGATTTGAAATGCTCCACTGATCTACCGAATACTTTACGGTGATACGTAAAATCTACGTAAGGGTATAAAATTTGCCAACGTAAATAAATTGGAACCGGAGGTATATAATGAAACGTTTGGCGAGTTTTTATTGAGTCATCCTTATTTCTTAACTTATAATGATCTCAATATTCTTGAAATAAGCTGGAAGAAGATATATGAAGCTTTCTAATGGTTGTACTATCTTTGAATTTGGATAAAAGCCAGAGGAGTATTGAAAACCAAAAAGTCTATTTTTGTTTGCCATAAAAATCGTATTTACGTGTTTCAAACGGTACTTGACAGAGTATGAATAAATTTTTTTGGCCTACTTTACTGGAAGCGTATTTTCGTTTGTGTAACTGTTTACATATCTGATTTCGTTTACTCCACTGCTGCGTATTATTTTGTTTCTGCATATTATTTTGTTATCTCAGTTAAAAACACAAACCAACTGATGTATAATAATCTTGAAATATATGGACAGCAAAGGAAGCCAACCATGTTTAAAAAAATATGTAAATTAGTAAAAAAATGTTTTCGGCTTTTAGGGCTCTTTGGAAAGAACTGTAGGCAATGTGGATCTGTGGAGCAAAGTAGGATCAAAAACGTTTTTAACAAGAAACAAAGTTGATATTTGTGTTTATACACCAATAAACCCCTGAATACAAATATGTAGGAAACAAAAAAAATGATTTTTCGCCCTCTAAATGCCTCCGATTTTTTTCCCAAAACAAAAATAGTGATAAATCCATTATATTTAGAGGTCTATTGACCACAGCACTTCTTTCAATTAATTAAACGTTTTACGTAGGTTTTTGGTTGAAATGAAAAAGCTAGTGTTACGAGGTATATTCGAACCCACGCCTTCGGCTCAATACGCCTCTGCTCTAACCACTTAATTGCTCTAGTCAATGATTGACGTGTAATAACATTGAAATCGATCTAGAACACAGATAAAAACCCATATTAATAAAAAAAAATTAATTGAAAAGAAATTATTTGGTCAATCGGCCCACGAAACCTAATAAATGTAATAAGCAAAATGAAGTATACTTCACTAAAGCTCTCCGTGGCCATTTCATTTGTCGCCGAGAATCAAATAGATTACACGACATTTGAAAAATGGAAAAAGGAGGGAAAATTCGAAAGGCTGGGTAGAGATGGGAGGTTAGTGTCTGAGTGGATCGAAGTCACGATAGCTCAAGTGGTAGAGCAGCGGCGTATTGAGCCGAAGGCCGTGGGTTCGAATCCCGCTCGTGACACTAGCTTTTTCATTTCAACCAAATACCTTACGTAAAAAGATTAATTATTTGAAAATAGTGATACATTTGAAAAATCTCCACACATCCCCAGGACCCTTTTCGGTTGTAAAAAAATTAGTACAGGAGATATAAAATAAAAGGATTGGTCCGCAGTGGCCGAGTCGTTAGGGCGTCCGATCGTATATGGTTTTTATTGAAAACGGTATGAAAAATATATTGTAAAATGGTTTGACAAGAAAAAAGTGGTAAACTACATCTGAGTGATATATTTTGATTTACGAATCAAGAAATCAATACATTACCTCTTTCGATGGTTTAAAAAAATATTCAGGATATAATGAATGTTCATTTACCTTAGAACTAGTGTCGGCTAGTTTTCCGGTCAGGTACTAAAGAAAATAGAACAAGAAGGATATGTGCCTCGTATGGGTCAACAGGCCGAATCCACTCAATTGCACACCACCTGCAATGTTTTCTCTTTTGCCATTTAATTAACAAACACTTTGAAGCTTTTATTTTTGAACTGGTCGTGCACTACTACGAGTATTCGCAACTGAGTGATCTTTTCTTACATCTGAGCTTTTCAATTAAAAAATAATGGCCCGTTAAAATGCCGTTTTTTGACACGTAATCAGA